GGGGGTGGTTCCTGGCTCGCTGGGATGCTGTGTGTGAGTCATACTGACTCCTCCTTATTAGTGCTGCTAGTCAGTTGACGTTGTTGCATTCAGCGCTTACTGTTGTGTGCCCATTATTTACGCAACCATTCTACATGGTTATTTTCCGCCATCGATGTGGCACGTAGTTCATTAGCGGCACGTTTCGAGTAATCGACATCTGCCATGGCAGGGAAACTGACACCTCACCTACCAAGGCCCACGCACTCCTTGTATTAATAAAGGCCCTCCCACTCGCATCGGCTTACCTGTCGGATACTTAATACGTGTTTGCCTAGTTCTCCAGTTCGATTTATGAGCGGGAGAATGATGCGTGTACACTATTCATAGATTGACAAATTGGGGACGCCGTAAGCTTTCTCGCGTGCACTGAAAATTTTGAAGGTTAGATAAGATACGTTCAGATCTTATCACAGAGGCATGGTATGTGTACCATCGCGTGGCACCATCGATGCCTTCGGTTTCCGGCTGTCGACCACCCTCGCCTTGCACTTGACCCTGAAGAGTCGAACAAACTGGCAGTTTGTTGGCAAGGAGCGGGTGCCCCCCACAGACAAATGGAAAATTCCCAGACGTCATGCCAACACAGCATGCACTTGCACCCAACTCGGGCTGGTTGTTGCATCGATTTAACAAGCACAAAGTACACGAAAAAGCAGGTAAATCTTCCCAGTCCGCGGGTAATTACAATATCCAATGCAGGAGGAGTGAATCACCAACCGGGAACAGTGCGGTGCGCTGCGAAGGGTGAAAGTTAACTCAATTAAAGCAAAGCAAACCCATTGCATATATTAGGGCGCTGCAGCGATGTCGTCTGGCTTGTGGTCTAGGACCTCGTCCGGAGATCGCGTGCTTTCGTGGCATTTCGCTTCACCACGCAAATGTGACTAAATGAGACTCTTCCTTGCCCCGCCTGCAGTCAATTTGTCAACAACTTTTAGATTTATGGCCATTTAATCAACTCTTTGTAGCCTTGAAGAAGGGTTTATAATATTGCCGAAAAGTAAGAAGAAGATGGGGGGGATTTCCCAACTCTGTTCGTATGAGTTCCGCGGGCCCGTGATCTATAATGTAGAAATGTAAGTTCCATTTCTGGTAGAAATTGCACATTTTTATATCTTACCTATTCTACTCTCGGCTCCTTTCCTTTTCCTCTAGGGTTCCAGGGGATCGATTTACTGCGCGAGTGAACCGGACCCAGCTGGTGGAGTCCAGTACGAGTCGGGAGGGTTCATTCTCAACACGAAGCCAGCGGCCGGCTCCGGTGTGGCACTGGGATCGGGTGGCGGAGAGGGCGGCGTTGGCATCGAGTGCGGATCCCTCTTCTCGATCGTGTCAGCGCCACCCGCACCACTCCCCACAGTTCCCACCGTGGTGGTGCCGCTTGCCGAGCTGGATGTCAAGCAGATGGAGTCCCTGTGCATGCCCTCGATGTCGATGTCGCCGTCGCCCGCCCGGCGACCCGCCACACTCACCCTGGACGCCCCCTGCTGCCCACGCACCCTGCACGCCAGCTTGCTGGAGCACCAGATCTCCGAGCTGGAGGAGGACGACAACGAGAACCTGTTGACTGTCTCCAGTATCACGGCGAGGCCGTTGATAGCCAAATCGCACGAGCTGCGCAGCAGTCGAAAGACGCAGCAGTACGGAAACGGAACCGGAAACGGAAATGGATCGCAGACGGCAAAGAGCAAATGCATCCGCAAAGCCAAGGAGCGGGATCGGATCGTCCAGCGACGCAGCAAGCCACTGGCCAAGGATCGCGACTCCTCCACGACGACAACGGACAGCGGTGGGGGCAACCTGGAGCCTCCCGACGGCGGCTATGGCTGGTTCATCGTCTTCGGGGCCTTCTCCGTGCAGTTCTGGGTGGCCGGACTGGTCAAATCCTACGGAGTGCTCTACGTGGAGATAATGGAGACATTTCCCAGCTCGACGGCCACCGTTGCATCCTGGATACCGGCAATTCTTTCGGCTCTGTGCCTGGTCCTCGCACCCCTTTCGAGCGCCCTGTGCCAGCGGTTCTCGTGCCGGGCCGTCGTCTTTGTGGGGGGCATCTTCTGTGCCATGGGCATGATGCTCAGCTACTTCGCCACCAGCCTGGTGCACCTGCTCTTCACCTTCGGCATACTGACGGGTGAGTTTTGAGACCTGGGGTGAGAAACCTCCTTGTGGCCTCCTTGCAGTTTCCTAATCACTTCCCTCACTACAGGCATTGGCGGAGGTCTCTCTACCACACCAGGCATCGTCATTGTGTCCCAGTACTTTGACACGCACCGCGCCCTGGCCAACGGCATCTGTGTCTCGGGCACAGCCGCGGGCAGCTTCATTCTACCGGTACTGATCAAGCATCTGGTGGAGAAATGCGGATTCCATGCCACCCTCCTCATCCTGGGGGGCTGCATGTTGCACGTCTGTGTATCGGCGATGCTCTATCGTCCGATAAGCGCGTACACGGACCTGGGGCAGGCCCAGGCGCCGGAGGCCACTGAGAAGCCGCTGAACGAGGACATCAACCCGAGCACGACGGGAATTCTGACCACCTCCACATACCTGGACACCTGCGAGGTGGTGGGTGACAACGAGCTGAGCGACAAGTTCATCGAGCACCTGTTCCTCGAAGAGTCCAAGAACCATCTGAACTACTACACCAGCAAGCAGCCAGCTGCAGGTGAGTGCAATAGGAGCTCTGGGCAGCAGCCCTCACTACTGTTGCATTCGCCAGCACGACAAGACGACAAGTCGGCGCAGGAGAGCGACGACGAGGTGAAGGACATCATTGGCGAGACCACCTTCATCAAGCCCATGAAGAAGGTGCGCAGCTCCGGTCTGCTGCACTCCGTCGAGGACCTGAGCACCGACTCCACCTGGGTCTACCGCAAGCACTCCGGTACGGACTCGAATCGCGGCAGTCGTCGGCGACGCAATGTGTTCGCCAACGACGAGGTCATCTCGAAGATTCAGGCCCACCTGGAGAGGCCACTGTCGCCACCCAGCGTGGTCAGTCGCGGGCTCAGCAAGAGCATGGAGATTCCCACGCCGGTGAGCAACCTCAGCGAGCTGAAGCAGCAGCAGTTGTCGGACAGCGGTGGCATCCTCAACTCCCAGCTGGTAGAGAGCATCAATGCCGATGGTGCGGCAGACGACGAGGACGACGATGATGATGATGAGGAGCAGCTGCCGCGCACCTGCTGCGAGCGTATCGAGATGTATCTGGACATCAGTCTGCTGCAGGAACCGCGATTCATCCTGATGACCCTCTCCGTCACCCTGATGTCCGTGGGCTGCCCCTACATGCTGTACTATCTGCCTGCCCATGTCATCTCCATAGGTGTGTGCCCCAGAACTGCTCCACTTCCACCTAATATCCTAACAGCATTGATGACTCTCCTCTTCCATAGGCTACAACAAAAGCGAGGCGGGCTATTTGGTGGCCATTAGCGCTGTCCTGGATCTTTGTGGGCGCCTGGGCCTGGGCTGGCTATCCGATCTGCAGCTGTTCGATCGCAAGAAGACCTACACCCTGTGGTATTTGCCGCTCTCTCATCAAGATCTGCGCTTCACTAAATCTTGGCTTTAATTAATCTTTTAGCATTTTGGGCGCCGGCCTGGCGGTCCTCACCATTCCATTTGCCAAGACACTGATTCTGGTGGGACTATCCGCCGCCGTCTACGGCCTCTGCCTGGGCAGCTGGTACGTCCTGATGCCCGTTCTCCTGGCCGACGTCTTCGGCACGGACCGGATCAGCTCCAGCTACGGGCTGGTGCGTATGTTCCAGAGCATTGGTGCCATCTCGGTGCCACCGCTGGCTGGTCTCCTGCGAGACCTATCGGGGGACTATGAAATCTGCTTCTACTGCATGGGCTCCTGCATGGTGCTCGGCTGCACACCGCTCATCGTTTGGTCTATTCTGGAGGCGCGCAACCATCGCCTGTTCGTGCAGGGCGAGGAGGACTGCGAGGATGACTGCGAGGATGCCTAGGGGATTCGAGTTACGAATTGTGTTACCGGTTACTAATTAGTTGGCTGTCGCCCCATAAGTTAATCGTGTTTTAGTAGCCAAAACGAAAAGAGAGATAACCAAAAGGATAATCATAGTTGAGTTCCTGAGTTTCAAAGTTGCGAATGCCTCACCGATTCTAGCCATTACCAATTAATAATTATATTAGCCCACTTCTGTATCCTCAAGCCATCGATCAACTCCCTTTCCACTCTATATCTCATACTCACTACTCTACACATATATTTATCTATAAAGGGGATCTATGTATCCCCATAGCTTGTTATATTTCAGTTGAGCACAAACCAGATCGTTTGTATCAATATCTTGCCGCAGATGAGACGAGACTTGAGAAGAGATTCAAACAAACCAACCTACTGAGCACCAAAACGTTGCGCAAAAAGAACTGAGTTAAAAAAGACATGAAAACACTACCCGTATATAATGATAACTTAATGATATAAAAGAAGCGATTAAGCAACATAAACCTATGGACTACCACGTATTTCCGTGCCCAAATAAATCAATATTGGAAAACTACATATAGAACTAGGTACGCATATACCCCATATCAGAACTGTTTCCACTTGTTTCGGTGGAGTGTTAAGTAAGTGCATAGAGAGGCTATGAACAGGTAATACGAGTACGGAGAGGGTCTATAATCTATAATCTATCACTACATCGCGTTGCATTAACCTAGTTGTAATATAGTTGTTGTGAGACATTTATCCATAAACGGAACTAACAAATAAACACAAAATCAAAATGGAAAAGCCTTTCAGTTTGACACATTCCCTGACCTGGCAATGACCCTAATTGTGCTTCATTTGTTATTCACACCACAAGTGTTGTAAGTACAAGAGACGTGATAAAAATTACCTGGAAAAAATAGGTAATTACCCAACTAGAGCACGATTATGGTAGGCCTGGGCAACAAACTCAATTCCAAGCTATACGAAAATGATCTATGCGGATAATTGTTGCTGTTGCATGGACCTCAAGTGCGGCTGCATCTTGATAGCCATCGTTGAAGTGCTCATACGGGGAATAGATCGCTTTTTTGTGGAGTGTAAGTCTGCAAAGGTTTATCTTCTTATATACTATAGTGTACGTGTTTTACCTTCCAGATGATACCCTACTCGGCTATGCCACTCTCATTCTGAGTGGCGTCTATGTCATAAGCTGCGTCTTTCTTCTGCTTGGGGCCGTGATGGTGGGTCATTAATTTATTGAAAATTATGAAGTAAAAATTCTTTCTTTCAGCAACTACGTATATTTCTACTGCCCTATCTCTGGATAGGCGTTATACGGCTGGTCGCTTTGATCGTCGAGTTTATCTACTACTATCTAAACACTGATGAAATCGTCTATGAGTATTTATATTTCGATGTCTTCCAAGCGGGTAAGATGAAGGCGATAAAGGATTTCTTAGCTTCCTTTCATTTCAGTTTTAGGCTTATACTTCTGGCTGGTGGTCTACTCGTTCTATGATGTATTGAGAAAAACATAGGGCCTATTGCTCTGTTACTTTTTATTAAACTAAAAAAAAAACGCTCTCTCATTTTTTTTTTAATTCTCCCTATCCCAGAAAGGGAATCTTTGATGGCCGCACTCATATAGAATGCAATGAGTTCATTTCGCTAAAAATAAAATAATTATGGCATGGTGACAGCATTCGAAATCCATTTTAACTGATCAGATCCCATCCAGAATATTAATGCCCGAGTTACCAGACCAGACCTATCCCAACTCCATTTTCTGCTCTTTATCTTTTAAACCGTATTTAATGGCAGCATTCGATTGCAAATCATAAATTATATATTTACATTTTTGGACTGGACTTTGCGACTTATGACTAGAACTGCTCCAGGCCACGGGGAGCGGGTGGGGCGCCATATTCCTCGGCGGGCGCAGCGGGAGGACCGTATTGGGGAGCGGGCTTCTGCTGCTGCTTGTATTTGATGAAGTAGACCTCGGGCTTGCTGGGCTCGGTGGGGGCCGGCGAGGGCAGGATGACGGGCAGCTGCTCCTCGGGCTTCTTCACCAGCACGTACACGAGGGTCTTGTGCTCGTCCTGGACTGGTGGGGGCAGCACTTGGCGGACTGGCGTGGGTGGGTTAGGGGCCTTGATGAAGATGATCTTGTAGTGCTTCTTGGGCACCGCCGTCTGGATGGGGGCAGCGGCTGGATAGAATTCCGGCTCCTCTGGCGGCACATGGACGTACACGTTCTTGGTGACAATGGCCTCGGCTGCGGGGGCAGCGGGTGGACCGTAGAAGGCTGCTGGTGGACCGTAGACAGGCAAAGGTTGGGCCGGTGGTGGTGGACCGTATTCCTGTTGTGGGGCAGGTGGAGGCGGAGCTCCGTAGCGGGGCCTTGGCGGCTCCGGACGGGCAAGAGCCAGAGCCAGGCTGGCGGCCAGGAAGAGTAGGACAATCTGGGGCTTCATGCTGATCTCTCGTCGATAGTTTGTTCACGAATGACTCTATTGTGGCAGGTCAATCGGGCATTATATATGAGTGGAGCTTCCCCCAGATGGCGGACAACGTTTTCATAAGCCCCTTGGGTCTCTTTGCATAATATTTTCGATGGCTTCCCAATCGCCGTTACGCGTCCGAGCTGAATCCGCACTTGTAGCGCCGCACGATGCATACAAATGAGAAGACGATGAGCGGGGCAGGGGCAGGGGCAGGAGAGACGATGATTCGCATCGAAGCCATCGGAGCGCATTGTGCCCATTTTGTATATTTGGATACTGAAAACGAAATTGAAAAGGCAAACACAGGGAGTACTCCAGACCGAGGGAGAGGCCCGGCAATCACGTTCTGCGGCTTTGTTTGGAGACTCCACGCTCTCCGAGTCGACTCTCTTGGACTTCCCGGCCTCTTTTCGATACTATTTGCCAAAAGTATACGCATTAATTGCCGATTGCGTTGTTTACTTGTAATTTATTGTATAACACGTAACCGAAAATCCGAACATACTCGTACAGCTACTGCTGGTAGGCCAGGGACGGTCATTGCAATCGTCATTGCTGGAGGTCTACGTTGAAATATGTCCCATCCCCCCCCCCCCCCCCCCCCCCCCTCACGAACCAGCTGCAGAGACTAATCACTAGTACCGCTATTTTAAGATAAATATCGGAAAACTTTTGTTACTTCTGAATCATGTTTTCTCATCAAATAAAACTTCTTTCGATATAACATGCTCTATCATTACTGTCACACATTAAGTACACATTACTCGCAAAACTTCAGAACTCAACTCAACAAATCAAAGTTAAGGATTTTCTCAGTATACACTACTAAAAAGCCGCCTGCAGAATGATATATCTACAGAATTGTTGCTGCTTCGTGGATTTGCGTCTGGGTGCGATCATATCAGGCCTAGTCCATGCTATTGCTGACGTGTTAGGAGGCTTCTTCATAATGATAATGGCCGGAACGGGTGAGTTACTCAGGACAGTATCAGAGGATAAGTAAACTTGACTCTGCCATTACCATTTCTCTAGGGACTCCCGATCTGTGCCACAAGCTGACTATTTTCTTATTCATAGTACATTTGGTTAGTTGCGCGGGCATGGTCTTCGGCTCCATTAAGGTATGTTAGATCCTTACATAGGAAACAGATAGATGGCCTGACTGAATCGGTTCCATTCTCTAGCTTAGCACCAAATTCATGATCCCATACATATTGATGACCTTAGCAATGATCCTATACCTGATCCCCCTGTTCGTAGCCGATGTAATTCTTGCCGTTTGGTACTTTGTATTGATAACCTATTTCATACTGTTCTGTAAGTATTCCATGGCTCTGGCCCTGGCTCTGGCTCAATTAATCGTTTTTCCCTAAACAGGTATCTCTTTGTACTGCTGGCTTGTAGCCTACTCCTTCTATGCGGCCCTGGGCGGGACCCTCTTTATATAGAGATGTTTGATCTCATCAATATCAAATTTTAACGTATTCTCTTTGTAAAGGTTAATTTAGGCGCATTCAAAATTGAAAATATTATCGATATATATTTCTTTCAATGTAGAATGTGTTTTTTTGTCTGTTAATTCATTTTTCTGCCTCTTCTGTACCATAGATGCTATGTGCTACAATGTACAATGTACAATGCACAACCCTACATAAACTGTAGACGGAAGTTACTATTTCTAGCACGTGATTCACCTGTCAATCATACCCGTCCTTACCTTATCAGTCAGAAAAATAATGTCTGTTAGAAAATATAGTCTGTTTCTCAACCGATAGCACAACAATCTCCATGATACGCTTAAAATGGTGCTGCTACTGCATTGCACTACGCAAGGCGTGCATAATCATCGCCTGTTTAGACTTTGTTATTAACTTAACCATCGCCACCATTGGCGCAAAATGTAAGTTTAATGTCACAGTCAATCAACCCCTGTAAAACCTATCCCTAATCTTTGCAGATCAATTCATCGATAGGATTGAGCAGGCGGTGGCTATTTGTCACTGCATCGGCTGTGTCTTCCTGATAGGCGGGGCTCTGCTCGTAGGTTCAGCTCTAGCATAACATCATTAGTATTACCTCTTTCCCCACAGCCTCCAGAAATCATCCGTTCTGCTGATCTTCTTCCTCATTACCAGCCTGACCAACTATGTCATCTTGATCGCCTATGTCATCTACATTTGCTTTGATTGGGTACCCAAGGGGGAGTTTATGCTGCCTATCATTATAACTTATACATGTGAGTTTCCTTTATTCTCGAGCACCTGCTCCTGCTCACATACTACCTGTTTTCCAGTTGTTGGAATATACTTTTGGCTCGTCGTCTTCTCCCATTACAAAAACGTGACCAACGATACTGTAACGATTGATGTATAATCTCTTAATGTTGATCTTTAAATCGAAGCTAAGTAATTAAAATTCCCAGTGATTGTCTCATTATAACGATCCGCAATTTCTTTATGGGTATCCAGACTGAAGGCGCCTACCTAAAGTAATACTTTTTACTTATCGCTTTGGTATAACAAGGTAACTGCCGGTATCTAGAAGATTTAAACAATAAGAAATTGTATATTGTTAAAAAAGAAGATCCCTCTTAGAGTCTCTGCTCACCCCTCTGCACTGGAGTCTTTGTCGACCTTCAAGTTCACTTCGTCCATGATGGATAAAAAGTCCTTCTCAGTCGCAAGCTCATCCATGCACTTGCACAGAGTTTGGATGTATAGGGACCCTTCGGACGGCCTGCGATAGCTCTTAAAGCCCTCGGTGCTACTAAAGCACTTGACGTACTCGTTGGGACTGTGTTTCATTAGAGTTGCATCCGCTTCCAATTCGCCCTTGCATGCCTGCGCAATGAGGATCTTGGGCTTTCCTTTGAGAGTCTCGTTTTTAAATAGTGGCAAGAGAACGTCCTTGTGCAGTGAGTACTCCTTGTTGTCTGATGCCACGATCATTTCGTTTTCACCTCCGTGACTCAGTAAGACAATGATCAATGCAGACTGCTGTTCAAAGTTTTTTCGTTCGACTGCAAAATTTGTTTTTTAATTATTACGATATTCGAATTTGAGTGCTTCTCGGCACTACTCACTTTCACTTATTTTCTCCTTTACCGCAGCCAATGTAGGATCCTTTATTTCTATTATCTGGCACTGGAGTTTCTCGAATGTCTTGCGCAGCGCTTGTACATCCTTCGCGCTGCCAATTCGGGGTTCATGAAGATCGTTTTTAAAAGTCTCATGATTGAATACGTAAATGAGCCGGGGAGCTGATATCGTGGGCGTGGGTTTGAACTCTCCACTTGCTTCCGGCAGCGTTTCTGTTGACTATTTAAAACAGGATGTGGGGATTCTTTTGGTATATGTGTATACCTACCAGCTGTCTACGTAACATCATGCGGCGTTCGCCAAATTTGGGTGGTCTGGGGAGGGCCATCTTTCTAAGTCTGTTTCCGTCAAAGGTCTTACTTGAATAAAAGAAACTTTTCGTGCGAATGCATCGAACTTGTATGACACTCAAAGATAACTGTAGATAACTCACAGATAAGTCGAAGTGTTGGTGGTGTTTTATTGCAAACTCTACAAGTTAATATTAATGATAAGATAGCGGTCTTTGCTTATAAAACTACGCGAATCTGGCCGGCCTTTTCATAAAGGTTATCTACTGAAGTAACATTTCTACTTAAACCTATTAAAAACGTGTCAATAAAGGAAAACATAGATATCTTCATGATAAGTGCATTCTGTACAGACCAATCTATAGTTCCACCCTATAGACCACCCTTCACTCGCTGTTCACCAGCTCGAACCACTGCCTCATGGCTTCGCTGAGCACCAGCGGAAGCTGATTCAGATCCCTGACAATCACGTAGTAGGGGAACGGGAAACTGTCCAGATACGAGCTGATGTTCACCGAACCATCCGCATTCACGACCACATGCTGTATGTCCAGAATGGAGTTCTAGAAGGAGTGTGTGATTAGTACATAGTGCAGTGAAATCCTTGTTTGGTCCTATTACCTTATTATCAGGATTGTCAATGATGATGTACACCAAGAAGATGCGCTGCAGTCGCGCCAGTTTGATGGCACTCTTCACCTTCTGGGCGCCCTCGCTGAATATGTTGCGGCCATCGCTGAGGATGAGCAGCAGATTCTCAAAGAGTCCATTGTCTCCGCCCAAGCCACTCTCCTCGGCATTCGCGGTGCGCATAAAGTCCAACAGTCCGGCAATTTTCGTCTTGTCCTGGGAAAAGTTCAGGGCGTTCACCAATCGCGGGCCATCGAACTGTTCCGTATGGTTAAGGATGATCTGTGGTGCCTCGCCGAACGAGACAATGCTTAAGCGTCCACTCTCCAGCAGCGTCAGCGCCTGCGAGACCAGTGAGATGGCCTCCAGGGTCAGCGTCTTGGAATTGTTGTGGTGCATCGACTTGGAATCGTCGATGGCAATCGTGATCTTGTAGTCCCGCTGTGCAGGCTTGGTGCGTCGCAGCCAGATCTTATCCTTGCGGAACTGGGACGCAATGTAGGGAATGATCTTCTTCATGTTGATACGACGACCGGTGCGATAGTCGCCCTTCAGTCGTGTGCACTTCGTCGGCTCCAATATGAGGCGCAGCTGCTCGCAGAGCTCGCGAGCATTCTGGGTCATGCGACTGGATATGCTCTGCCAGTTCTCGTAGTCCTCGTGTTGCGGTTGCGTCTGTATAAAGAGGGGAGCGCGGTTAAAAGGGAGATTACGCAGAGGAATACTCAAACTTACGCCGCGGAATGTGGTCAACTGCTGCTGGTACATTTGCCGCAGTTCCATCTGCTGTCCGGTACTTAGCTCCTCAGCCTGTGCGCTCTTGTCCATCAGCAGTTCGATGCTGTTCAATCAGAGATTGCCATCAGGGGTATTCAGGGATTCAGATGTGTCGAATCTACTCACTTGCTATGCGCTGTCGTCTCAGCACTGCGAGGCACTGTCATTGTGGGCACTACCTCTCCCTCGATCTCCATGCCTTCGGGTGTCTCCAGGCGATCCTTCGACTGTTCGGTTTTGGAGGGTTTGTCGGACTTTTGCTCCGTCTTCTCCGCTCCTAGCTGTTCGAGCTGTGCATCTTCCTCCTGGTCGGGTGCTGGCTCTTCGGTTTCCATCAATTCATCGGCATTCTCCGCTTCTGTCTCTTCGTTAGGCACTTCATCCTCCTCCTGGTGCTGGATCTTCTTCGACTGCTCCTCGGTGGCATTGTCCAAGGTCGTCTTGTCACTGTTCTTCGGGTCCTTGACATGCTGGTACTCCTCTGCCTCGGCCGGATCCGTTTGGTCCGGCTGCTGCTGCTCGGACTCTTCCGTTTCTTTGGACTCCTTCATCTGATCAATGGTCTTCAGTTGCTTCAATTTATTCTTCTCCGCTTCTCCTGTTAAAAATGAATCAGATTAGACTTTAATTTCGAATCAGGGAATCTTTGATGCTTGCCCAGAGTGCGCTCCTCGTTGGTGCGTCCCTGCTTGCGCTTCTCCTGCGTCTGCTTCTCGTTCTTGCGCTCCTCCTGGGACACAGTCTCCTGGGTCTCGGCAACGCCCTGGTGGCCGCCATCGTTGGTCTGCAAAGGGTTACAAAGGTTGATAAGCGAAGGAGTTTATTTACGCTGAAGTATATTCCGAGTGCGCACTTACATCGTTCTCGGCCTGGCCCACGCCATCCTTCTCCTCGCCCGTTTCCTGCTCGTCCATCTTTTGCTCCTGCTTAACATCCTGATCCTGGGGCTGCTGCACTTGATCCGCGGAGCTGCTCTTCTCGGTCTCGGGCACAGACTGCACATTCTCTTCCTTGCTGGACTTGTCCTGCGACTGTGCGTGTTGCTCCGGCTTCTCTTCGCGCTTTTCACCCTCCTCTGGATCCTCTGCATCGGCAGGGGTTTCCTCCTCTTCAGGTTCCAGTTCGCCCCGTGTCTGGGTCTCGGGCTCCTGCTTTTCATCCTCCAGTGAGGCGTCTTCACCTTCGTCTTCTGGACCATTTTGTCCAGCATCGGCAGCATCCTTGCCCGCTTCCGTTTCCTCTTCGGAGTCGCTGTCATCGCTCTCCGGATGGGCGTCCTCTTCTTTGGGGTCTTCCTCTGCATCGCCGTCGGCATCCTCGGCTGGTTGCATGTTCTCCTTCATGGCATCGATGTCGAAGGGATTCTCGTCTGTTGGCTCCTCCGCCTCGTCGTGGCCCTCGTCGACGTTGTTCATGTCGCCCAGATCCATTTCCTCTGGCTCTGGGGGCTCCTCCAGTTCGTTGTGCATGGCATTCGTTTGCTCCTCGTCCATTTCCGGATCCTTCATGTCCTCGATGTCCTTGGCCTGTTCCTTGCGCTTGTCCTCGCTGTCACCGGGCTCGTTGGTGGCATCCAGGCCGTCCTTCTCGTGCTCATCCCGGCCATCCTCCTTGGCGGCTTCGTTTTTGGTATCCAGATCGTTGTGCGTGTCCTTCTCGTCCTTGCTGCCCTTGCCCTGATCCTCTTCGTTCAGTTCGGGCTCCTCTTCCTCGGGCTTCTCCTCGTCGTCGCCCCAAATCTGCTCGTCCAGCTTCTCGGCGCCCTCTTCCGTCTCGCCCATTTCCTTGTTGAGCTCCTCCTCTTCCTCGGACTCGCCGCTGTCGTCCTCCTCGGGCTTCTCCACGTCCTGCATTTCGGCATCGAAATTGTCGCTCATGTCGATGCCCTTCTCCTCCTTGCAGTCGGGCTCCTGCTTGTCGCCCTCGTCCTTGCGATCCTCCGGCCGCTTGGCATCGTCCAGCTGATCCTCCGACTCGATCTTGTCCGAGGCATCGTTTTCCCCTGTGCCATCCTCCAGGCCGAAGCCCTCGCCGTTCTTCGAGTCCTGTTGCGACTGCCCCTCTTCGTCCTGCATCAGGTCTTTCGGCACACAGAATCCCCTGCTGCCGATCTCCACGAATATGGTCAACATCACGGACATCATCTTGGCCGATACCTTGTGCGTGCCCAGCTGCTGCAGCAGCAGGTAGTCAGCCAGCAGCTGATACTGGTCCAGGATGGGGATCAGTGACACGGCGCGACGCAGGCACAGCAGTTTCTCGGCGCTAGGATGGGCGTGCTTCAGCACCAGGAGCACATTGGAGAGCTTCTCGAGGACGCGGGGCAGGCTCAGGAGCTGCCAGTCCGTAGCCAGATCGCTGGTCAGACACTTCTTCAGATGTTGCTCCTGCAGAGCTTCCGATTGCTGCTCTTCCTGTTGCTCCTTGCCGTTCTCTTGCGCTTGGGCGTGCTGCTTATAGATCTTCTGCAGGGACAGCAGGACGCAGTGGGCAATGTTGGCCAATTCCGTATCCGCATTGGCCACATCGATGGGCTCCTGCTCCTCCGGCGAGAGCTCAGTAGATGTCTCCGCCTTAAGTCTCGACAGCAGCTCTACCAGTGGCTGAGCCACGGGCAGAAGTGCATTCTGTTCGGTTCGGAGCAGTGCGAGGATTTTCTCAATGGTCACGAGAATCTGACGGTAGCCCTTCTGGTAGTGTTCCATTTTGTCGGTGGACACGTACTCGAGGCTACTGGAATTTAGCTCGTGCAGCAGCTTCTGGCTACTCCCCAGGATCTGGCCGGATAGCTGCAGGACCTCCGATTGGGCCAGAGGCACTGCCCGATCCAGGGCCCGGTGCTCATCGACCTCCGCCGATGAGAGGATTGGGGGAGCACAGCTAAGAAGCAGCTGCCACTGCCTGAGTACATAGTGGATCTGGCAAAGCTTCTGTCTCATCTCTGCTCTCACATCCGCACTGCGGGAGAAGTCCAGCGACTGGAGATCGCTCTCGGCTCGCTCCCTGGCATCGGCCACCTGCCGGAGACTGGCCAGAGCGTTGCGCAGTTCGTGCAGCTGCCGTGTGCCATCGGAGAGCTGTTGGCGCTGCTGCTGCACCAGCAGGAACATGTCCACGGCAAAGCCCTTGATACGCTCGATATTGGGCGGCCCCAGCTCCGAGAGCGGCGTCAGCATGATGTTCTGCAGCAGCTTCAGCTTGAATACGCTCTTCATGAAGTACAGGTCTAGGTTCTCGTTCAGATGCTGCCAGCTGGGATGGAGCCGCGGCAGCATGGCCCGGATGCAGTAGGGCGGCAGCCTAAAGTCCTCGAATTCGGTTCGCAGCGAGAGCTCCATGAGGCCCGTCTTGTAGCTGATACCCAGCCGATGGAGGGTCTTGAAAAGGTCCGTCAGCGCCTTGCGCTTCTGTTGAAGGATCTGCTTGGCCTGCAGCTTCTGCTGAGGCCGCTCCTTACTGCGGTCCACATTTAGGGCGCGTAGATGCTCGCAGCGTTCCAGCTGGGCGGACAGCAGCTCGTCCAGCTCTGTGATCAGCTCGCCGTAGGGCACATGCGCCAGCGTCTCCTCCACCACATGGCGGGCGGTGGCAAAGTGCTTTTCCAGGCGCTGCAACAGCGCATTGTCGGCCACGTGCTCCGA